TAACCAAGGAGATGAAGGGTCTTTACACACATACAAATATTTTAATTAGACGCTTTTATTTATGCTCTACCAGAGTAAAGGTTAAATTGTTTAAATCATATTGCATTTGTTTATATGGTGCTTCTCTGTGGCAAAATTATAATGATAAAACAATGGCACGCGTTTAGTATTGCTACAACAAATGTGGTAAAACGTTTTTTGGCTACAACAGGTATGATAGTATATCTCTCATGCTTTTAGAGCACAGATTACCATCTTTTCATACAATTATCTCAAACTACAGACATGCTTTTTGTAAACAGTTGATGGCTTGTTCCTTAGTGAATAATTCCATGCGTTTACTTAATCAAAGTTTAAAATAATATTTTTCTTGTAAAAACTATGGACTTGGCACCTAAATTGTTTCTGCCTGTTGTCCGAAATATATTTATAATAATAATAATAATAATAATAACAATAATAATGTTGTAAGATCTAATTAAAACTAAGTAGTGGACTAATGTAGATGAAACTCCATCTTTAGAGCCACAATATATTCACAAACAATGTTTTGCCACTTTGGTGATGACAGTGTTTTTTTTATGTTTATTTTTCTTGTCATGTTTTAAATTTTAGAAGACTAGACTAAAGCATAAATAGTACTTAACATCCTAACACTCTAAGCAAGCCATGCAGTTGCCTCATATTATAAAGCAACTCAAACTCTTAAAAAAGGTAGACTTAATTACGCGCACCAAAAATACTAACAAAGATAACTCTTAATATAACCCATAAAGATAAGCATGCATTACCAAAGCATTGGTAATCTTTTGACCTTTTATAGCTTTTGTTTAAATCAGCTTTTCATCAAAATTTATTTCATTTAGGAGAGCTGCCCCAAACCTTACTACCTGCTTGTCTCGAAACAATTAAACTGATTTTTAGAGCTGCACCAAGTTAGTTGGTTAGAGTTAATAAGGTCCATTTTTTATCATTCTAAGTAGTAGAAACTTTATTTCTTTCATCACATTCAATTTAATACATAGCAAAAATGGTCTGATAATATATTTAAGTTAGATAAAACATTTAAATTAAATAACTTAAAAAAAAATACACTAAACTAAATTAAAAATGTACTTAAGTTTGTGTCTCTAAGAAATCCAGGATGAATTTGAATGGACTTAAGACTGGTTGCTGAAATTTGACATAAACAAGTGCATTGTGATGCATTATGGTTCTACCAATAAGAATTATGCAGTTGGTATACAACTTAAT